CAAGAAACAAAAAATAATTAGAAATAAATAAATACCTTCGTTTGAACGAAAATGGATCTTGCCAAAGAATAGGAATCAAAATTTAATTCAATTTTTTAAAACCAAATTTTTTGTCTTCGACAAGAAACAAAAAATAATTAGAAATAAATAAATACCTTTGTTTGAACGAAAATGGATCTTGCCAAAGAATAGGAATCAAAATTTAATTCAATTTTTTAAAACCGAATTTTTTGTCTTCAACAAGAAACAAAAAATAATTAGAAATGAGTAAATGCCTTTATTTGAACGAAAATGGATCTTGCCAAAGAATAGAATTGGAAATTTATACAATTTTTTAAATCCGAATTTTCGTCGAAAAAGAATAAAGGCTCCGTTTGAACGAAATGGATCTTGCCAAATAATGGGAATTGAAATTTAAGTGCGACAAGTATGCATGTCGATATTTAGTTTATTGAAATATAAGTTTTATATTAGTCATCTGATCATGTATCTGATATATCCGTTACCAAATCTTATTATTATTATTATTATTCCCGAAATCTATAGCTTAACCGGATCGACGGAAAAATCATTCGGGCAAATTTTCACAGGTGACCCAGGAATTATGATAATAGCTATAAGGTTATCCGCAGTTAAGTTATCCAGATTATCCGGATAGTTGGAATATATAAACTTAATCTTGTACATAGTTTGATATTATGAGAGTCTTACGAATTCAATTTTAAAACTAATAAACTATCGTTCTTTAATAATTTTAAAAAAAATTTTGCCAAAAGTAATCGTATTAATTTACATATTTGGGAAAAAGGCCGATCAGACTTTCAATTAATCGATTAGTTGGTTAATCGATTTAAATCGTGTTTATAATAGTCAATGCCAACTCGATCAACTAAACGATTAATCGACATATCGCTAATCACGGGTTGGCACTCAAATTTCGGACCGGTTCTGGAAACGGTTTTTGGACTGATTCTGGGATCGATTCTGGACCGGTTTTGGGACTGGGACCGGACCAAACAGCGTTAATAGACCGGTCTTATTAGAGACCGGGACGGACCGATCCATCCCTAGTTTTGGGTCATCTTTGCTGAAAAATTATTAAATTTTAAGTGAACAAAAAACAGAATAGTAGTTTTCATTATAGTTTGATTAAAGGTTAAAAGATGGGTTGTATTTATTACGTTCATCTCAAGGTATCGATTGTTTGCTTTAAAAGCTTCGAGTAGATATTTTTTTAGATCGGCTATAAATTTATTTAGAATTCACTGTTTATCATGAAAAAATGTAAAAGTAATGCTTGACAAAGACCTACATTTTATTAAAAATGATCAAAAATAATCAGAAAATTCAAGAAGTTATTTTAGAAACAAATTTTATAAAATATCGAAATTATCGTATGATCCAGTAGGTATGATTTAATAATTTTTATATCATTAGATTCGTCTCATTGAGATGAATCAAATGGTATAAGATTCGACTGCTAGTTCAGTAATTCGAGAGATATTCTTGATCTAGTTATCGAATTATTATAAAACTGATTAAAAATTGTGCATGTGATCGAAAATTTCTTTTAGGACAGATCGACCCAGAGTCAACGTGGGAAGTTTGTGCTACGAGGATTGTCAAGAAAATATACACTGTCGTATTACAGTACTGTATTAATATCACACTTTGTTATTTTTCTGGTAAAATCGCTTAACATATAATAATAAAAATAAAACTGGTTCCAAACTAGTGATGTGCCATTTATATGATACCTGAAAAATTTTAGTGTACGTACACAGTACGTATAGTTCTTTTCTGGCATCTGATTGGCTGGAACAAGTGTTCGGAAAAAATTTTAGCGTACAGTACGACTGTACGTATAGTACTGTACGTGGCACATCACTATTCCAAACTCTACACCAGGCAGGGACACGGAAAAAATGCGATTTTATTTAAAGGTACAAATAAAAGCGCAATTATTATTCCGTGTCCCTGACACCAGGTATTATTAACCAAAAAAGTTACGATAGAACTGGGTGAAACCTGAGTTACAAAATAGTGAAATCCACCTTGTAGGGTAAAATCCGCGTATTAGTATCTGTAATAATAATAATAATAAACGGAATGTGATGATCGTCAGCTCAGTGTTGATTTTCGGGGTGTAAGTTACACAAAAAATTTTTGTATAAAAATTTGTAAAAAAATTGATCGACATACTTTAGATACCTGACGTATTGTATCTTTCATATTTTTTTAAGCCAAAAAAAAAAAAAAAATTAAAGAAAAAAATGGCCCGAAGAAGATATCGCAAGCACCGAAATGGCCGTAGGAGGTAATAATAATAATAATAAAATATTACACAATACGTATAATATATATTAAGAGTAACTAATAATATATAATATAATTAAACAATAGACGTGAAGAAATTCCTAAAGACGAAAAGTAAGAATATTTGTATTATTTGTGTCAATAGTATCAGAAATTAAGGTCATGTTAACAATAATGTGTACGTACGTGGCACCGTTAACACGACCCAGGATATTATCTTTAGTCAAAAAATGCCCCTAAAAAAAAAAAAAAAAAAGAAATCGGCAAAGAAATAAAATATCAAACTGATAATCATAAAATTTCTGATCATTTTGTGGTTTTATTTATTATAGGCAACCGGAAGGTGCTTTAAAAAGACAAGAAAGAGAGATCGAAGAACTAAAAAAGAAGCGGGAGAAGAATAAAAATAAAATTAAAAAATTAGAAATAGAAAATGAACATTTGAAAGATAATTACAAACTTCTAGCAGATGCCTATTCGGCAAGATCATAATAAAATTTTAAATTCTTTTCAAGTCTATGTTATAATCACTTAATCATTACGATTGCAATTCTCTAAGTTGACATCAAAATTACTGAATTGTGGACGAATTGTATCATTGCCATTGTTATTCGACAATTAATACGTAATGCAAATTTGGGAATTAATTTTGATGTCAACTATACATTTATCGCGATTAGCACGTTGTGTGCAAATTAATATATGTGCCTTCCTTTACATTCTTCGACTATTCGCAACCTATACCATTTAAAAGTTCTTTGGCGGTTTCGCTAAATTTAATTTTATAATCTCTTATCAAGAGAAATAGTTCCTTTTCTTCTGAGATCTTCAACTTACCCTCTCAGAATGATTCATTTGGGGCAATGTTTTCAGAACAAGGTTTTTTTTTTAGACTTCATTTATTTTAATAAAACTTTTGAACGGTATCGGACTAACGTTTTGCTTCATTCATTACAGATCTAGCCACATATATAGTTAAATTAATATGGTCGTGAAATTGCGAATTACACATCACCAAAGCAGTGATTGTGTGAAAAGGCGGATTTGGGATGACTAGTTTTCATATATAAAACACAATATATATTCGAATTAAGATGTGAAAGATATTGTTCGAGAACAAAGGACCTTACTGTCATTAAGATCTCCAGGGTTATTATTAGATGGTCTTTATTAATTATAATTTTTCTTACATTTTAGTTATACGAAATCGATACATTATGGATCACATTGAGACTTTGCTATTATGATTAGAATCAATCTCTAAGCATTATGACTAAGGCCGTTTGAAGTTAATTTTTCGGTTAACATCACCCCTCCCCCCTCCCCTTTGGCGTCCCCCGGTAAAATGAAC